AAAAGAGACTCAAGGTATCTCATCTAAACGCTCTTAGGTAGATAGTCATATTTTTTAATATATGAGTCTCACAAATATGAGATCCGTGTAATATAAATTGCCGTTAATATTTGGGTATTGTTTTCTAATTTAATAATAATAATAATAATAATAATAAATAAATAAATAATAATAAAAGATATGAAGTATATGTAGGAAAAAATTGGAACCAATAAACCACGTTTCAATCTATGATTATTATAATAATACTTTACCCATTTGAAAAAGGGGAAACTATATGAGATCTGATGTTACTATAAAGAATTATTATTATTATTAACTTTGAAAAAGGCACACACATTGCGTTTTCATTTGTTATTTACATATCTTTTGTTTCGAATATTTTGAGGTAAAACATGAAACACATTCTAAAGCTTCCAAAAGACGAGGATTAAAACTCAAGATGACTTTGGTCTTTTCCAGTTTAACCAGTGGTCTCGTGTTCGAGCCCTGGAAATGCAGCAATGTTAAAACTTTTGAGGGAGAGCTTTGTCGCCTTTATGGTCCTACCCGGCTTGATTTCGAATTAGTCGGTTCCCTGTAGATCCAGAAATCGGAAGGTCCCTGTACCAAAAAAAAAGGAGTAAAAAAAAAGGAATTTCCCATGGCTTTAGTTGATTTGGTTTTGCTTTAGTTTCACGAAAATCATATTTTATTAGATGCTGCTCCACTTTATGTATAATTATAATTATAATTCACACTAAAAAATGAGACAGTATGAAAAGTAAAAGCATAAACGAGTCGAGTGGATTCGAGTTCTGATAATCGAGTTCGAGTCAAGCTCACAAAACTAATATAAAAGAGCTCAAGCTCGATTCATTTATTAATAGTAACAAACTGAACGATAGTCTTAACAAATCAATAACCGAGAATGAAAAAAAAAAGGGAAAACACCTGAGATTTATAGAGGGGAAAAAAGTGCATCAATAATTTGAATGAAAAACGGTGTAATTTTATTTAATAAGATTTGAAGGTGGTTAATATTTTGTTATTGATGTTGAAATCAACAACTCAAAACTCATCAAATGAGTCCCACTCTAAAATCAACTAGTACTAATACCCATGTGCAACATAGGTGTTAGAGTTAAGAAATATATGTGTAAAGTTATTTATGTCTAATACTAAATCTAACTCCAGAGCAAAAATAATATAAAAATAAAATCACGAAGCATAAATTTTCGCCATGTCAGCATCAGAAGCGTGAGAATCTGCCACCTAGGCTCAACACGTTTTAAATTAATATATAGAGAGGGATTGACAATAGAAGAAGTAGCCTACTAAGCTTATATATTGAACTTGAAATAATTAATTGATCGATGAGGGATTGGATTTGCATACCCAACAATTAAAATGTAATATAAAGCTAAATATATCAATAAAATAGGATTTGAACGTAAATTACATAAATTGTGTAATTTTCTCTAAAATTTTGGACCCGAAAATCATTAGGTTAGGCCGAAGACTGCCCATGTAAGCAGATGGGCCTTTGCAGACGTGCTTCTAAAAGAAAAGATGGCCCAACAATAAAGAGTACTTCAGTTCACTGACAGGAAACGGGCCGACGGCCCAGGTTCACTCTCCCAAGCCCAAGCAACTAGTGGAGGAAAAAAACACAAGATTTTGAGAAGAAAATTTGTATTTATTACAATTTGGGGAAACGTTACGGTCCGTTACGGAATCATTTCACCGGGGTTGGTAATTGTTGGATTCTCATATAAATAGGAAATAGTTGATTTAACGGTTACAAACTCTGACGGAATGGTTTCGTAGCGGGACCGTAGCATCTCCCTACGATTTGTCTTGCTCGATTTAGATGCCCTTGGCCG